CACTGCAGTCACTTTGAAAACATCAGATATGTATCCGATTTAAAACCACATACTGAAACGGCCTGGGTCGGATTTGAAAAAATCAGATTTTTTCGCGTTCAAACTGTCATAAAAAATCAGATATGAGTCAGATGGGTCAAAAAAATCGGATTTGGGTCAGATTTGCCTGCAGTGTGAACGTAGCCATAGTCATAAAAAATCAGATATGAGTCAGATGGGTCAAAAAAATCGGATTTGGGTCAGATTTGCCTGCAGTGTGAACGTAGCCCAAGATCACTTCATGTCAGGGCTGAAGGTCCACAACAAAAATCATAAACTTCCAATCTTTTTTGTTTATTTCAAGTATTTTTGTTGTGGCATGTAATTACCCAATGGTGATGCTTAATATAAAGATATATTGAAGTGATTGCTGCTTGTATGACTTATAAGAAAACAAAACCTACCCTGAGACAGAAGTAGAGTTTACCCATAATGCACAACAGTCACTTTGGTGAAAACCAAGCACATATCAACATCAATGGGAACAGAGTCCTCAGAGCCTTGCAAAATCAGTTTTTATTGAGCTTAAGTCACAAATCTGTCTGCCTGCCACCTCTTCTGATGTTTGAACTGCTACTTCCTGTCTGTGAGTCCAACCTGCCCACTACACCCACTCTGTTGGAGACACACCCCTGTGTGCTCTGCAGAGGCCACAGGAGTAGTTGAAGGACACATCACAGCCTCCTACCTGTTGATGATGTTGCAGAGGGCGGCACTGTCTGGCTGCTGAAGTTTGGCTGCATATGTGGAGGAGTGTATGTGTCATAACTTCGACCATTTACAGTGGAGCTGTTGGGCAACATGCAGGAATAGGAAGTCTGGTTTGGCGCCTGAAAACACAACGTTGACGTCTATTAAAACATAAAACTTTACATTCACAGGCAGCTATAGTGTTAAATACAACAAAACGTCTTAAATTTACCTCATGCCATTAGACCTAATAGAGTGCTCTGTGAATATGAGTGTGAATGGGTAAACACAGGTTGTAGTGTAAAGAAATGCTCTGGCCCCACCATCCCCTCTCCCACTCATATCTGTGAACTGGTGTCCTAGAGTAACCAAGGACCAAGAACTCTACATCCCTTCAGAAACTATGGTGGAGGGACTCATTTACTTGTTCACAGTCTTACTCACAGATGCACACACACACACACACACACACACACACACACACACACACACACACACACACACACACACACAC